CCAAATTTTGATCTGATCTCTCAATTCTATGTGAACTGGGATATGACTCATTCGAGGAATAAATCAAATGAAACGAAAATATTTTTCCCAGGTTCCTTAAATCAAATTAGGTTGAATGATGGAAATAATAATCAAAACAAAAAAAGCAAAAATATCCACCCAATAAAACAAAACAAAAAAAGCCCTACTTTTTCTTCTTATTCACATTTTCAGATTTTCCATTCGCAATTTCTCTGTCCCTCTCAGGAGTCCACCGTTTCAGTAAAACAAGTGTCACATCAGAATTAGCCACACAATCAAGCTGACTCCTATCAGCAGTACTCTCAAAGTTAACGTAAGCCAGCACGCATTCCTTAGCTACTGACTCACTGACCCTCCGCAATGTATTGATCTCTGTCCACAGAGGTTCATCACTAATCACCACCTTCACAACATACGCTGCGTGGGCAGTGTTAGGATCTCCTGAATACAACATGAAATCTCCTCCGTACTTTAAACCAGATCGAACTGTATACTTTTTGTCCCGAAAATGCCGGTAAACAATGAATTTGTGACAAAAACTTGGATCGTGGCCAAGCCAAATATTCCAAAGAACCTCCTTCTGTAAAACCTGTTGATTATCCTGAACCAAGACTAAAGCTTCCATGTAAACTAAATACAGCGCTTCACAGGGCGAAAGTATGAGATGTTCTGAACCATCCATCAGACCCGCTGGTGTACCTTTAGACAGTGATCCTTTACCATAGCATCCTGAAATGTATATGCTAGCAGCGTCGTGAGGATTTGTTATGATAACGTTACCAGGAGCCTCACTGGATAAAGTCCCCCTAACACCGTATGCAAGCTGTGTCACAGATCGGGGTAAGATCTTCCTTCTCTTGTTGGTTTTTGTTTTAGATAATGAGCTCACTTGGGTAAGGGGTATGTTTTCACATTCTGTTGAGATAGCCACTTTTAGATCATTGACTGAAGACATTTTTCTAGTGTTGCAGCAGGGATGTGAACCTGTAAAGGGCATTTTCCATGATGTATTTTTAAATATTTGAAGTAAAAGGATTCTATTATTATTATTATATATGAAACACTATTACCGACAGTGAAATTCTGCTCATGCTGTATTTATATTAAAAGTAAACATCAAACTGTCTGTCCAAAACTGAAGGGCTACAATAACCGTAAAATTGTATGTAATAATGTGATCTACAACTTTAACTTGTGATTTAGTTACACATCAAACAGTGTAACTACAGATAAAACAATGCCAGTACAGAAGATACAACTTTTTAATGGAACTATTTCTAGTCGGTGGGAGAGATCGATAAACTGTCTAATCGCATCTAAAGTGAGAATAGAGTGTTCTCAATCCCAAACTTAAAATAAGTCGGACATACTTTCAAGTTACTAATTTATCTCAGATTTTCTCATTCAAAAAGATTTAAAACAAAGTGCTAATCCCTCCATTAAACGATTTCAAATGTTGTTCAACGTGTGTATCGAGGTGGTCTTTTCTAGAAGACTCATAATCACAAAGCTCACACCTGTACGCTCTCTCCGAAGAGTGAGTTCGTTTGTGTCGTTTTATATCAGCAGTATTGCTGGCTCTATATTCGCACGAATCACACTGAAAAGGTCGTTCACCGGTGTGCTTGCGAATGTGAATTACAAGGAGTTCATTCCTGGTGGTTGCGTATTCACAAACTTCACATTTGAACGGTCTCTCGTTTGTGTGGGTTCTAATGTGCTTTCTTAAAGTGCTCAGCTGACCCGCTTTGTACTCACAAACGTTACACTGAAAGGGCCGTTCTCCAGTGTGCTTCCTTACGTGGACTACAAGTGTTTGTTTCTGTCTGGAAGCATAATCGCAATGATCACATTTAAAAGGCTTTTCATCGCTGTGAATTGTCAGATGCCGTTTAAGAGTCTTCATATGCCCTGATTTGTACTCGCAGAACATGCATCTGTAGGGGCGTTCCCCTGTGTGGGTGCGGGAGTGCTCTTTTAGGTACTCTTTTCTGGTAGTAGTGTAGACACATTGCTCACATTTAAAAGGTCTAGCATGTTTGTGAACCGTCATATTATGAACCTTCAGGTGCTTCTTTTTATCTACTTCATACTCGCACAAACTACAATGATAAGTTTTAATCGGACGGGGGATTTTGGGCATTTTCTTTTTACTGGTACCCCTCTCATTTAGTGGTACCCCTCTCTTTTTACTGGTACCCCTCTCATTTTCAGAAGTGATGTGAGCGGAGTTATTGGAAACGGTGATGTTTTCCTCGATCTCTGAAGGTTCTAGTTTTATTGTAATCTCGTCAACTGATACAGATGCCATGACATGATCTGAAATTAGGATGTTAGTTCAAGTAAGATTAGTAGCACTCACAATATTATATACATTTATTGAAGTGAGTTAAAGCTGCATTTAAAAACTAGGGTGGAACTTCCTATCATTTTCATTTTAGTCGTTCGCTTTTTAAAAATATTTAGACAATTTCTCAACCACACAAGAATCAAGATACAGAATATAAAGCGAAAAATTATAAATATCATCAATAAAATAATTACAAGACATGTGTGAAATAACTATATCGAAATCTTAACCATGGCAATCACCAAACAACATTCCAATAGCAACAATTTTGTAATTTTCAAAAACTGCAGAGAATTCAATTCATAGCACAGCCTGAATATGCATTGGCTTACTACAATACGGGCACTCCCCGAACACAGTCCCAAAACTGTGTCTCACATCTGGTAATCCCCTAAACCACTCAACCAAACAGTCCACGTGATACAACTGCTTACAAGTTTCATTGTTACAACTTACTTCCGGTATCTGGTCCATCATTTCATAGCAATAGCACACCCCACATTCAATAGAAATAGCACTGTCCTCCTCAGTTGGCTTACTGGGAAGTTCCAGATCTAAAATTGTGGCTAGATTCTCCACCATTCCCAGAGCAGGGTCCCATTCATCCGCTTTTTCATCCAGGAGATTCTGAAAAGGCTGTATAGACTTAGCTGAGCCCAGAAACCGGCACCTCGGCAACGTAGTGGGCTGAGAAGGATCAAGTGTAACTATCAGGGATACATCTCCTTTCAGGACAATTCTACGATGAACAGCACCACGAGTGTACGGCTCAGGTTCAATAACCCAGCAATTAGAATCAATGTCATCCAGAATGTCCCACAGTACCTGGTACTGACTTATAACTTCTTTGAAAGTCCTCAAAACTTCCTGACATGACCACGTATCTGATATTACGAGCTCTTGTGGAAGGTCGCATGTTAATGTGGGAGTTTTTGAGTCCAACTGAATGGCAACGTGGTGTTCTCTGTTACTTTCGTCAGTGTGCCTCAAGATGACCTGCTTGAAGTGTTGGTCTATTGATTTAACACAGTCTGATGGTAGATTTGCGACTTGTTTGATGAGTATCAACAAGTGTTTACTATCCGTGGGACTAACTAGGATATCCTCTAGAAAAGTGACCAAGTTTGCAACAAAAGATTCCAATGTGGCCGAATTTTCTACAATCTTTGCAAGTTTTGAAGGATATTTGTCGAATTCTAACTTGAGGTCATCGTCAAAAGTCACTGCAGGAGGCTGACAATTATAGTCAACGGATATAAAATACTCGGAATTATCAGAAAGTTTAATGAAACCGGTAAGAGATGTTTTGGTGAGGGGCACTAGTTGAGGCTGACTGGCTATTGTTACCATTCCACTTTTATGCCAACTCTGTACAGCATGCAAGTAAACGTTCTAAAATTTGTATGCCCTGACCTCAGACCTTATATAATACTTTGGATATATTAATTTATTGTGGATAAATAAAGAAATAAATACGAATCTTGAAATAACATTAATTTTTAATTAGCCGATTTCAAGTTTCTAATATATGTGATTTCACGGATGAAATTTTATATAAATACGATTCAGCCAGTCAAGGCTTAGTACACTATTCAAGAATAAAACAATGTTTCGTCACGATAAACAAACATTCTAATAAATAGACTCAACAGGGTAAAAACCGACACATAAATTTCAGAAGGAAGATATCATGGTAAAACTTTCAGTAAAATATATTACCAAGTATGAAAATGTATAAATTTAAGGAATTACGAATTACGAAACCAGGTAAATTTTTTTAAATATTTTATCTGCATAACGAACCATACCATGAAACAATCATATTATTAGAGCATTTATAAAACGAGGACTCTACTTTCAACGGAACACTAAGAAAAGCTAAGCCATCTTCTGAAGGTCCCCCTTCTTGAAGGCTCGCTCCACATCATCTCCTCCTCCAATGAACTTGCCGTTAATCCAGACACGGGGTACACTCCGTGCACCAGTCAGCTTCTTGCAGTAGTCCTGTATAGCGTCCATCTCCGACATGTCCTCTATCTCTAATATCTTTGCATCTTTTATTCCTGTGAGTTGTGTTTTTTTAAATTACTCTGATTATAATAAAAGTGTAAAAACATGTTGTATTCGTGACAAACAATTTTAACTGTCAGAGGATATCGAGTGATTTACAAATCTACAAATGGTTACACTCACCAGCTTGGTTGAGGTATTTCTTAGCCTTGGTACAGAAAGGGCAGTAAGTTTTACTGATCACAAACACCTTGTTCTCCTTGATACCACTATCTACAATTTGTTGAGCCATGGTGCTGTGATTTGCAGAACTGCTGGTCGCACCTATCGTGATTCTTGAGCTAGGTTTGATTTAAATCTTATTATATATTGAAATGGAGGTAATACCTTTTGAGATGAAATAATGATGCTTGTACTTGGTTTGCTTATTCAATGAAATCATTGCGACAGGAAAATAAAACTATGAAAATGTTATAAATAATCTATTCTGAAAATATTTCATCTCCAGGTTAAAACAAACATTCTATTTGATAATACATTTCATTAGCGCACTAAAATCTACTACTAATTTAATATAGCAGTTAGCACTGTCTAGAAATTAAAAATAAATCACACAAAAACGATACAAAATGAAATAAACCTAGCATGATAAATAAATTAAAAGATTGAGATGATTCAAGAGGGTCAGTACTCAGTAATTCAATCTAGTTGTAGAACTGGCCACCATACAGCAGCTAGATACAGAAAACTAATCCAGATTTATAAGAGGCATCGTATTACAACATTTATTCAAGATTTAATTATAACTGTCACTAAGTCACTTAAATAAAACAATGCAAGTTATGTTCCATTCACAATCACAAAGTTCCGTCTTTATACGCTTTCTCTACAGCATCAGCTCCTCCAACTAATTTCTGGTCAATCCAGACTCGCGGTACAGACCGGGCACCAGTCAGCTCCTTACAGTAGTCCTGAATGTCGCTACAGTCCTCCCTGCTCTCTATCTCCACCACTGACGCTTCTAGACCTGGATATTTATATGTTTGATATTCGTTGATTATTCGTTATTGATCCTGTGAATTAACTAGAATACACATATTTGACGTAGAGGACATCATAATAAATACTAAACATGAACGAAATGATTTACGACCTAAGCTAGGGAGATAAAATATCAAATCCATCAGGACATCAGGTTAAGATTATGATAATAATATGTAAATGATATTCTTCTAATTTTATAAGGTAAAAATATCAAATCTAAGTTATTGTGATTACATCAAAAATAGTTGAAACCTGCAAATTTGAGGATTGCTTTGGCTTTCAAACAGAAAGGGCAGTACACTTTACTGATCACAAATACTTTGTTATCTCTTATTCCATTATCAACCAATGCCTTTGCAGCTTGCGAATAGGTCCTGAAATGTAATTATTGTATTTAAAGCTAAAAATGGATTTCAGATTTAGTTAAGAAAGAAAAGGGAGCTATTTACGAAACAAAGAACGAAAAAAAACGAACAAACCTTGATGTATGTAATTGTGTAGATAATCTAAATAAGGAGTGTGTCATTCTAAGAGCCATTCTGCTGGGATATGAAATGTTTATAAACCACTGCTAGGAACTACAAATTATTGGGAACCTAGTTTCAATACAATATTGACATATTTACATATAACACTCAATAATGAAATGACGATCAAGATAAGAATATTTTGTAATGGTTCAGACTGTATCGAATGTCTAAGAAGAATGTGAACGCGAGAAAAGCACATAATAAAATGTAAAAGATCAAAATAGTATGTCAAACTGTGTTAAAATAAATTAAGATAATAAATAACCCAGTTATTATTGCATATATGGTAGTTACTGTATTAAAACACTCAGCAGCAGGTAGTTTCCCTGGTTTAAAAACATTTTTCCGATAACCTTATGAAAAGTGTGATAACAGAATTTTACTCTACAATAAAGTTGCAACCTGTGCTTCAGACAAACTGTTTCTGCATTTCCACAACACAGATGATATCTGTTCTGGACAATTCTTTTGACAGAACTCTAAATACATTTTCCAATTCTCAGTTGTATTGAAATGCGTGGTCAGAAGATTAAATGAGCGGCATACTTGTTCCGCATTTGTCCCGTCCACCATTTCGTAATTCAACATGGCAACAACAGCATTTTCGGGTACAGTGTGCAAGTTTTGAAGATCTTTAAATACTTTCCTAGCATTCTCCAACCCAGATGATGTACAGATATACTGTAGATAGTGGGTAATAAGAGGTGAAGCAAAGGTCTCTTTCATAACTTCGTCCCATTTTGTTCTGCATTTGGCTGGGTCAGTAAAGGACAAATTGGTGAGATATTCAGATAGTATGTCAGGATCGTCTGGTAGAGCAGAGAGTGCATCTTCTAGGTCTTTGCTGGGATCATCTGAGAGATTAAGAATCTTGTAGAGCCATAAAGATTTATTCTTTGGGTATCTCTTTAGAGCAACGTCATATATTCTGGGGAGAAAATCGGCTAAATTGTTTGCAATCATCTTATCTCCAAGAAAGATTACTGTATCTGGGCTGCCAATTGAAAGTTCATCAAGGCTTTTGTTCATAAATTCCATCATCATTGGTCGTATATCTCCAAGCTTCTCGGCGAACGTGATCATAAACAAAACTATATCTTTTAGACATTCAAATGTTTGAATTGTGTTGTATGCTGTCTGTAAGATACTTTGGGCTTTAGCAACATCTTTAGTGACTACGAATTCAGCTAGGCAGACCCACAAAGATGAATTGTCGGGAGATTGTTTTAGGGCAGCTTCAAACAAGAATTTCATGAGCTCATCTCCATTAAATTCTAACTTTCCGACAACATCAGTAAATCCAGACAGAGTTTGAGAAGTCAGATTAATGGAACTGAGAGCATTTTTGAACACAATCCTTGCAGTCTTGAAGTTCATAAAATCATCCGTGGCTGCAAGAGCAGAAGGTTTATCACATGCATCCATGATTTGTCTGCGTTTTTGAAGTTTTTCAACATGTAAAACTTCAAGGCGGAAATATTCTGTCCACAATTCAGCAGAGTCTGAATTAAACTTTAACGCTTGCAGAAAAATCGATCGTGCAGCTGATATATTCTTATTCACCTCCATCTCATTTTTGGAACTCATAATCCATAACTGAACACAATTGGGGTTGTGTTTCAGGGCTTCAACAAAAGCTAGGCCAAGTGATCGGGTACTTGAAACCTGTTTGCAGTATTGAATGTATCGAATCCAAAGAGGCACATCACTCTTGTATTTTCTCAGACATTTCTGAAAAATGAAATGAATACGCTGCAAGCTTCTATATCTGGCTCCCTCACTGACATCATTTAAACCAAGTTGGAGGATTCTTGATTGCTTAAGTTTTTCAAGCTTGAGCTCAAAATCAATGAATCGAAGAAAATCCTGTTTCTTTGAAATGCGCCGTCGCATTTTATACTCAAAGTCTGTTCTAGTTTTAATAACTGATTTTCCCTCAACTGATGACAAAACACCTAGTTGCTGAAGTTCGTAAACCTCAGGCAACATCTCTTCGATGTGACTTTGAACAACTTCAGCCATCTTGGTTTTTGGTCTACCCTAGAATGTATGGATGGTTCAAATTGTAACACAATATTTTAAAATATACATAGTTTCAAATAATAGGAAAACAGTCATATACAATATTAGATTAGTGTCTGGACATTACAGTTACACACAGGGCCTCATGTATGTAATGTGCCACAGGCGACAGCAAACAAAAGCGGAAACTTATAAAATTGGTGAAATGAGACACCACACGAGTACGATCTCAGCCGCGCAGCGCAGTACCAGTGTAATGGCACTAGCAGTCGATAGTTAAAATTGTAGGGTGTCCTGAACAACCTAGGACAACTTGATCATATAGATTAACAGTACGTTGATGCGATGATGTGCTTTGTACCTGTTTGCAATTAACTGAGTGTTAAAACTGCGCGGCGCGGCTGAGTTGTCCGAACGAGAATTGAACACCCAACAACATGATTGATCATGTATGCGCTTACATTCGACCGTTTGAGTAAAATAAAGATCTTTTTCGGCGGGGGCGCCAACAGGCAACGTAACGCCACTATACAAATGAAGGGCTGGTCTCAAGTTCCCAAGGTGTCTACCACTCCCTGGGCATTTCCCCAGTTTGTTAGCAGAAAAAATTTCCAATTATGAGCTTGTTCTACAAAAACAATCTCCTTTACTCATTTCTTTTTACCTTGACAGAATGAAATGGCCATCCCCTAATGCTCTTGTGGTTATGAATTGTAGGTTTACAACCTACCAGGACGCGCGCCGAGTTGGACTCATCCAATATATGGAACAGATATTTTACGAATATCACCCGTTAAGTTATGAAGAACATACTGCAATTCATTCACTGACCAGTTTTAGCCATGTTGACGTGTTTTAGCCATGTTCATATCTTATTAGTATTGTCAACAAGTTCTTTAATCTGAAAGAGCTGGACAATTCACATTTTGTGATCCTAAACTGGTCCAGAGATCCAAATTCATCCAAGTCTACTATGTAATGGAAGTGTAAGTAATGATGAGCTCAAGCTTAGAAGGAAAATCTGTATTTATATGAGTCCCACCCACGCCTAGCTGGGGTATCCAACCCCTATACTAAACGGCCGGTGCTCTAGCCATTGGTATGTATGCAGCCTTACTCAGGCCTGTAATAAATGGAGAGACCCTCTTTAGTCTATGGAATAAACGCCATGAGTTGGCACGGAATTTTTGTGCCTGAGTTTGATAAATTGGGTACCAAAAGTTACCTCTAACTGTAAATAATAACAAAAAACACAGCCGATTTTCTCTTATGGATGACCCCTCAAATTCCCAATCACGATCCGTAATGGCGTATTTTATTGTATTCTATATAACCTGGGCACCTCATGTTATACTGTTTAAGCAAAAAGATATGACGAAGTTACAGGCCGAGCTTAAAACTTATTGTTTTATTGAATGCTAACTGCAAAATGATAGTAGCAAGACCCAATATAAAAACAACCCTTCAGAAACTCAATATATTCCCCATCTCAAATATTGGTGTTCGTGTCCTTCCACAATCCCCTCTCATTGTGTTTTTGACGGAGGAGAAGCCTAGTTCATCCGTCTGCATCGCTTAATCGAGTTGAAAATTTAGCCAATAACAAACTAAATTACATGTTAGACTGATAGCAGGTGTAGAGTTTATAACATACAAATTCTAAATTTTTGACGGCTGACGATGGTAAGTCGCTACGTTTAATTCGGGACTTTTATAGTCTTGGAGCTCAAAATGTCTCGTGCTGTGGGCCGTATAAACGGCGCACACCACCGCCCCGCCTTACTTCACGGTTGCGGGGCGGAGCTGGTGCCGTTTGTCTCGGCCTCAAGTGGCGAGTGCTTGCCCATCGAATACACGATTGAAACACTAATTATTTATTGGAATTCTACAGTTTCCAAAACGATGTACGAAGATATATTAACTTTGAGCTTTGTTTTGGCGACTGCTTCATCGATGGGCGAGTAGGTATTTGTTGTTTAGCAGTGTTGAATATTGGAGCAATTATATAATGTATATCTCCATCATAATATAGGCTAGTGTAAAGATATATAATCAAGAATACAAACAAACGCGAACGGTATTAGTAACTCGCTAGATTATAGATGTTATTTAAACACATATGTTTACGTCAATTATTATTAAAATTAATATTCTTTTTGCTTTAATATAATTACATTGTACATGTCACATGGATTAATGGATTAGTTGAATGAAACGTGTGCTACAAATGTCTACGCCTCACGCAGAACTGCGTACCGCTCAGTACTAATTCATGCTTGAGCGGTACTGCTGTTCACAGTGGCGCGCACTCAATTTAATCACAATAAATAACGAGCGCGCGGTTTTTTGGAATCTCTCCATTATTATATTAATTAGATCGCAGTGCTCACGGCCTGTACTGAGTAAACGACAGAAATATCTTTTAAATTATTTTGCTTCTGAAATTTTGGCTCTAGTAATTAAGAAATGTGACATGTAATTGTAAGTTAACAATTAAATAGATCCTGTGCGCGGCGCCTACAGCTGACCTACTTGTAGCGCGATGCACTACTGGGTCGCGCGCGCATCAAATAATGCTTCTCGCAACCACAGTAGTGTGCAAACCAACATTCGAACCACCAGCAGCTGGTGGTCAATTTCCTACGAACGCGACTTAATTTTAGTTCAGACTGGAGTCGAGCGCTACGTTATAGCTGTATATATAGCTCGTTTCACGACGAAATCTTCATTTATTGAGTTTGTCTGTCGATTATGTTGGAGTTTGTATTTTTGTACTCGAATACTGTTAATTTATTTTTATTAAATAGTTGTTTTTCGTAACAGCACACTAGTACGTGATTCCTTTTATTATTCTTACATAATTAGGAAGATTTTAAACTTCAATACTATAAATAATCAAATATTTACGAACACCGATCATCGGTATGACAGTACCCATTATGCATTATTGGTATCGAAGTCTTATGTTGAGCTGGATATCGAAAAATTTCAAAATGTAAGGCTGTAATTTTGTACTTGTTTAGGTGTAGAACTAGGATTAACAACTTGATTGCTAGGAGCTAGGAAGAGATTTTAGTAATGATGACCCTTTAAACTTAAACTATATCTCTAGTGCACTTCAATCGGTTTTCTTTTCAATTTTGATAAAACCTAGTCGTGATCTTTGTTTCAGAACTTCACTAATTTATTAAGTTTTGTAGTTTATATAGACGGAACATGAGCAGATACCATTTGATTAATTATAATATATCCGATTTGAAATATTATTCTGTCGGAGTTTGAGTTCAACATGGACACATTTATTAACATCCCGCATGAATTTGTGTCGTCTTTACAATTTTTTGCGCTGAATTTGTATGCTTATTAATACTGCCGCATAATATCAGTAGCTGCTATAAAACTAGAGTGTATAGCATGTGTATTATACGATGTTTCCCACGTAAAAATCGCAGTAAGACTGCTGTACCGGTAGAGTTTTTACTTGTATGATTCAGCAATCTGCTCTTTAGATGGTACCGTTACCTACCGCCATAAGACTGTGCCGTCTTAGTGACCTTGAGAATATCATAAGGTCCGATATATAAAAGCACTATCCAATATCGAGACCCACTCAGGATCCCAAACCACGACTCCTTTCGGTCGTCTGTACTTGCTTTTTTCCTCCCAGCATGGACTAAGTCAATGATACTGTCTTACATCGCTGGCCTTGTTCTTATAAGTGTTCACTCGGCGCTCACAAGATAACATGTTCAGAGATCTGTTGCAGAACCTTGTCGTGCCGTCATTTATATACTCCTTGACTAAGAGCTACTTTACACCTACAGCAAAAATGTGCTAAATGATACCCATCCTCTCCTCACATTACTGTACTTGCACTTACCATCCTCATCTTCGCCATAGAGGTGGTTAAGAGGGTGACGTACACAGCATCTAGCACGAATCCAATAAGTGAGTCTACAGTGCGTGTCGAAATACATTGCATGTACCCTTATATATTAATTGAGACGGAATTTTAATAAATCAACAAATTCTTAAAATTTAAAAAGGTAGAATTTAATTCTATGGCATTTATTGAAACCTGCTTTTTTAAAGTTGAGAATTGGTTTCAATTTCTAGAATATCACGATAATGTTGACTCAAAACTGTTTCAGGCAGCTATCAAGTCTCAAGATATGACATAATTTGATAGAATGTTAGTACCAACGCTATCAGTGCATTGAAGTCGAGTTCTCGATACAGGTATTATAATTAGGTTCTATCGACCGTTTTTGTAGTCTTAACTCATTTTTATTTGTTATTATACGACCAAGGGTGTGGCCTCTTTTTCACTGAAAAGACGCCATCAGATTTCATTGCATTCTGGGACCAATTTTGGTGTGATTTAAAGTATCCTACAAATTGGTGTTTACTGTTTCGACTTTTGTAAAATCACTGTAACAATATAATCTGTATTCTTATAGTTTCAACCATAATAGTGAAATAGAGGGGCTGGCCAATAGCCACACCCTCTGTAATTGATTTAAGTCTACGAAACTTTCAGAAATTTGTGTGTAATTCGGAGATAAATTAAACAAGTTGTTATCGGCCACCATGTGTAAACGGAATGTTCTAGCAGACTGTATAATACTATAACATACATTTTCTTACACACACATAATCTAATCTCTGGAATGTTGCTATGATATCAATGGCAATGTTTTGATACTGTGTATTATCATGATTATGCCTTACAGGCCGATCTTCCGATGGAGTTTCGGTTGCCATGGCAACACATCAATATGATAAATAATTTGTAAACGCAGTCACAACTCTGTCGTGTACACTGTACGGTGCGAGCGGTTATTTTATGATAGGTAACATCTACTTTTTCAGCATTTGCGGGATGACCAGTTCACACGTATATTTTCGCAGACACAACTTCGCATAAAATTATATCCAATTATTCTATAACCAATTATCTACACGGACTTCTGTCTAAATATGAATGAAATCGAGAAAACCAAATATTATATGTTTCAT